TTTGGACTCCGTTAGTGCAAAGAACATCGTGATATGTGCTGGGGAGATGTAAAGCTCCACAAAACGGCAAGCGGAGTGGAGTACTTGGAGTTTAATGAAAGACAGACAAAAACTAGAACTGGATCAGACTACAGCGATATCAGAGCTATACCACCGAAAATGTTTGCGACCGACGGAACTGAAAGAGATATAGTCGCGGTTTTCAAATATTTTGCCAGGAAGAGACCTGAGGAAATGAATCAAGACGATGCTCCCTTACCTGGCCGTAAACAACACTTTAAAGGCAGACTTGCTCGCAAGAAAAGGCTGGGTCAAGTCCAGCGCTGCTGGCGTTACCAAACTCAACGGTTCAATGAAGACAATGTTTCAGAAGGCAGGAATTCAAAACGACAGGCTTCTAGACATTTGACTTTATTGATATAGGATGAACACAGTAAGTTTTGTCAATTTTATAAGCTTCCATTGACTTAGTTGTTGTTGAGCGATTTTAAACTATTTTTTTACGCTTTTCATCGCCTCATTTGTGCAATTTGCCTACCAAATACTACACGAAAAAATCTCAGTAACTATGAAATAAACACATTATAGCATGGAAAATGCTTTGTACGATTTCTATTCACTCGGTACGTATCAGAAAACTCAACTCGTGAATAAAAATCGTACGCTCGCATTTTCCATGAAGTTATCTCTATATACTTTAGTAAACTTTTAATCCTAAGCCCGCGATCCAACTGAAAACACTTGGTCAGCGGTCAACTTTAAAAAACACGTGACTACGATATGGTTACGTGTACTGGTCAGCGGATACCTTTTGACAGTTGACCATAACATGAATATCCAACATCGACGACGACGACGACGACGACGACGACGGCGACGGCGACGGCGACGACGGAGTCGCGCAAGATGGCGGCCATATGCACACACTCCAGCTAATAGGTTGACAACGACATGTAGCCTCGGGTTATAGCGTGCTTCTTCGTCCGTACGCGCCCACGAGCAATACCGCTAGCCATGATAACCATGAGAAAATCAATGCATGGGTTTCCTTTACTTTCCTATATGGGTATGGTGCTCCACTTTAACGCCGGAGCTCCGCTATTATTTCATTCTCAATTTCCAATTAACCAAACAGTGACCAGAGAATCAAAGCGAACGAAGACCAAAAATTTTGTTTTTGAGGTGGCTATGACAAGAGCCGCTTTGAACTGCTCCACAAAGTTTTTGTACCTGGAAGAAATAATTGTTTCTTTCATAGATTTCTGATTTTAATAGGCTGTCAATCGAGGTCATACAGTATGCGAGGTTTGAAAATAACTATATTTGGAATTATAACAGCTTCATAAGGCGTGAGAATTGCAATAATTGTTTTTGTTTTTACTGCAATTTTAGTGCGTTTTAATCCCGATTTCAACACTCACGCATTCTGATATTGTCTAACTTTTTCAGACAAGAAGGTCATCGCCTTCTAAAGACCGAAGTTGTTCGTGCGCTTATGTCGAAGTCTCGTCGCTATGCCATTTTATATAAGTCTCTATCAGTAGTCGTTACCTCTCCACTTGCTTTATCACTGTCACCATTTCCAGGACCGCCTAGAGGATGCTCTGACACAATTTTGGCTTTTTGTCCAGATACTGATGATGGTGGAGCACTGGACTGATTCTGGTTTCCTCTGAATGCAGCCTGTCTAGTGACTGGACCTATCGATTCTTTACCCGAATCCTACACGTATTTTAGATTGTAGATAAAGCAAAAGTCAGAGCATATTAGTAACACGATGTAGAGTTATTTTGCTGACTAGGTATTAAGACTACCTTAGATGTCCAGTCGACTCATTGCCCGGGCGCTAATTAAACATTCAAGGAAGGCGTTTATTCATTTTCGTTTTAATTTACTATGTCATGAAGCGTCCAACACTAACAAACACGGAACTTGATTTCGCCTGCTTTAACAGATTAAATTAACTCAACACTAACGATACGAACGATTCGTTCAATTTTGCGGAGGGCGATTATCGAAAAGAGGTTGCTAAATCGAGTGACTTATTTACACGTGACAAACGATTATGCAAATATTCGTTTGGACAACAAACCTCATAATCAGTCACAACTGGCAACATTCGGCGAATATGACAGTACTCGCGCTAGCCTGCGTAGCAAGCGTTTCTGTGGGGTTCGGGAGCAAAGAATTACAGCGCGAAAAATGGAGCGATTAAAAGAAGGGGGAGGCGAGGGGAAGGAAGGAAGGTTTCCTTCCTTCCCCTCTCCCACCCCACTCTTTCTTTTTTTCGGTTCTCGCCCCATTTTCCGCGCAGACAAAACACCGAAAATCCCGTTCCTCGGTCTTTCTTTGCTTCCAAACCCCACGGAAACGCTTGCTACGCAGGCTATACTCGCGCTCACTTGTCACTTGTCACTCTCTTCACACGGGAGAATCTGAAAAGGCAGAAATTGCGACTTGGGCGTTTTGTACTTGTGCATATTACTTACTTGAGCATCTGTTTTGCTATCCTTGATTTCAGAGCTTGAACCTAAAAGAACTTGAGTCTCCGGTGCTTTTTGTTGCGGCTCTGTAAATGCCATTGTTGTTCGCGAGGCACTTTCACTTGCGTTTCCCTCCTTCTCTGATAATTCCCGAGACGTTGTTTCTTGCCCCGCACTATACGTACTCCCTACTTCAGGGGGATTGGGGAACTCGCCTCCGGCCTCAAGAACAGCCGGGCCTCTTACTGTTTCAGCAACCACCACAACAGTGTCAGTTGTTGTGTTACCGCCATTAAGGTCCTGGTTGACAATGGGCTCTTTCTGCTCTTCTAGAGGCGGAGAAGGAGTATTTGGTGCAGCACAAGACAAATCCTTCTGATCACCATTGGTTTCGTTGGTTGTATTCGTCACAGCTGCTTCTTTGCATTCCACAGCTTTCTCAGGACCTTGACGAGACAAGGTGGATGGAGTGCCTTCTTGGTGCTGATCGTTTATCGCTGATTCAGCTCTTTCTTCGGTTGGTGTTTCCGGGCCGCGGATACTACCAGTCACAACTGTCTCTTTCGAGTCAACAGCTCCGCTGAGGATGGAATCAGACGAGTTGGAGGAAGCATATTCCGGACGCTGTTCTCTTTCCGATAACCCAGTTCTTTCTTCATTTGGCGTTTCATCGCCTTGATGAGTAACAGAACCACAGTTCTTGTTAGGCTGTGATATAGTTCCGGGTTGTGGGCTAGTTAAGGATTGTGGTTGTTGTCTCTCTGTGGTTTTAACGTTCTGCTGATGGCTATTCCCTTAATTAAAATAACATCACACAAGCATTAGTGTTACACTAGACCAAAATGATGTAACTGTGTTTGGTATCAACCATATAAAGTTGTGAGCAAAGTTCGATTGACTGCTGACAGACGCGAGGGTGAGCTCATCTAAAGACTTAAGTTAGAGTCTGAATCTTACGGTTGTAATCCATATTATCGCTACGATCACTGCAAGCATAAGAAACGAGGATGAAAGTCAGCGATCGATGGCGTCATCTGCATAAGAACAACTCTACAGAGATCTTAGTGGTCGTTATCGCAAAGGTCGCTGAGATAGACTACAACTCTATCTCGTCGATCGAAGAAGAAGAATGTAAATGTCTTGTACGAGGAAAGGGTAGCTCTGGAGACACATGATTTGATTGGCTAGATCTTACACGGTATGTTGGCGCGGCGTGCTAGTTCTCGGTTCACGTTTGTAGAACAAGGTATACATGTACATGCATATTTTTTCAGGTTATCTTCTTCGGCTCGCTTGTCCATTTCGGGCCCACAATTCTGGTTGTATTGTTACTGAGTCCTTCAAGACGGGCCAGGTCTCCCTAATGAGATGCAATTAACAGATCGCTTTCATGAATCGTAACCTGAATAGTAACAATCCACAAAACGTTTGTGTCTGGCGTGCCAAAAATAATGGCTCGATTTATACTAGTATACTAGAGAAGGATCAAGGATTATCATGGGGAGGGAAGGAGAGCAAAGCCCAACAGTCCCCGGCCTATACAGACAAGTTTACTGAAAGCATTGGCTGCAGTTTGTGCTTGACCCTTGAAATCAAATACAGCTTTGGCGTGTGTTTCAGCGGGATATCCAAACACCGAGAAGACAGTTCAAAATCATACGACGCGCAGCGGAGTATTTTTGACGAAATTCGAGTTACTTGGATAGCCGATGAAACACTGTCTCGATATCTTCTCAATCGAAACAAAAACTAAGGAGTAAACGGAGAAGTAAAATGTCAAAGTCTACGCTAATTAATACCGGGTATCCAAACTTCAACTTCTTTACGGTTGTGCTTACCTTTGTTTTAACTTGATGAATCATTAATGAGTTTGAGAAGGTATAGATCCTTACAGGAAACTGTCTCCAATTGCCGCTCCTAGACTTTATTTCATATAGAATTGGATTATTAAGTACAAAGGCTTGCAATTACGGTTTTGAATCATTTTTCGTGCGTATTTTTTTTGAAGAATTTTAGCGATATTCTTTGTAAAGACCGAGAGCTTCACAGTTTTCCGCTTTCGGTTTCGATTCGCCATCGTTCCATTGTTCCGGCGAGAAGTTACTAGAGTATTCTCTCCCTGGTCTGCTGTTGTACCGGCACATTTTCATAACAACACAAAAATAAAAGTTAGGTCACGCCAATTTAATATATTTTTTAATTGTTTTCTGCTTAGAGACAAAAATTAATTAGTTAATGAATAGTTAGCCAATATTCACATTTCTCGTGATTGTTAAGTCTATCAGATGTCACGCATTCGCTCCTATATCACGTGATTTCGAGAGGCAATAAAAATCGTTCAGTTCCATGTGTTTGGTTGTCTCAATGCACGGTAACTCTGTTAGCTTGTGTGTGGCCTAGCCTTTGATGATTAACGATCAGTAGTTTAACATCATTTGTGAGTTTATTATCCCTAGCAAAGATCTACAGAGATGACCTTGTAGTCCTGTCTGACATCACAAAAATAACAGCTGCATCAATGACACCAAAGAGATATCAAGACAAACTGACAAATGGAAAGAATAAAAAAAATGTGCAACAAAAACTTGCATTCTGGGTCTCGTTAATTTGCTGGGAGAATTGAGAGATTTGCTACAAGACCAGGGGGTCTGACATTGCCTTGTGTCACCCACTGGTGAACTAGGAGGAGGGAGAGGAGAGTACTTGGTATTGAGGTTGGAGATCTTGCAGAAAACCAAGATTCCCAAAAACAAGAGGCTTGAGAGGTCTGCATTTGCCTACTATAATAATCAACTAACTGAACTACTTTTAACAACCCATGTCATGATTTAAAATTTCTCTTACTTAAATGAAAAGGACTTTGGCATGTTAAAGTACCATGACAATAACAATAATTGTGGGTTATTTGAAAATGGAACCCTTGCAGCAAAAAGTCCACAGCTAGAGCTTTTGCAGACCTTTTAGGGTACTGAGCCAAAAAAAACTGACAGAAGATAATTTGTTGTTTTAGAATTGGTACCTCTTGCGGGAGAAAAAAATTTCAAGCCACACCCACAAAACAGCATCTTAATACCTCTAGGGGGTTCTTTTTAGAATTTCTGATGAGCACCCAAAACAGCCTAAAACCCTTAAACTAGCCTAAAACTCTTACACTAGCCTAAAACCCTTACACTTGCCTACATGTAAAATTAGCCCTATTCCTAAGAGCTAACTATTTTGGCCAGAACATGTACATCTGGGGTTAGTTAAAGATAAGTATGATAAAGGTTGGTCTTCAATTTAAACTGATGCACCACTGGTTTAACCTATGGAAAAAATCAGGACTGGGATGGGGCTGGTGAACTGGGCTGTGGGCCTTCTTTTAGGAAAACCCAGATAGCACAATGAGCATCCTCACCAGTACCAATCATTGCCAAGAGTCCCTGCCCTAAAGGCTCCATTTCACAAACTTTTGTGGACAAAAAAATAGAACACAATCCCCAAGCTTCAAAATTATGGAAAAGCCTCAATGTTCATACCAAGTGTTTTTGTAGCTCGACTCACTAACAGTATCTATTTACTGATCAGTTAATGCAGACAGTTCTTCTCCTATAAACCAGAGTGCATCTCTTGCAGTCACGTTACACAAGCGATCTATTGTAGTCTCTGTTTTCGCACAGCATTATTTCTCGGTCATGACGTCACAATGCACTGTGTGAAATGGTATGCAGGAGGCGTCTCGATATCACGCGTGATACGGAAATAGCACTTGGTTTTTCACTTTAAAATTATCTAATTTTCAAATACCCGGTGCTAACATAAGGAATACTGTTGCATGACCATGCTTGATCTTTTTTTATATTAAAAAGCGTTGACAATTGCAACAAACGTTAAATCCGTGAAATAAGCGTCCAGTTTAAGTTTTACTGGCTGAACAAAGCATTCAGCTTATTAATTCAACATGCGGGCGCCAAGCACGCAGCTCAAATTTAGGCTTAATTATGGAGACCTTGAAGCGACTTAAAACACATCTTCGTTCGAGGAATCGGAAGAATCGGAAACGTAAGCTTCATGTAGGTTAAGCGAAATCAGAGAAATCAAATCGAACGTCATTTGCGAGGAGTGAATTAAGCTTTTATGAAATTTGAATTCTTAGCAGCCATGAATAATATAATCCAAGTAAGTTCATATTAAATTTACCTTGAATTGACCTGCTATCTAGTCCAAGATCACCGTAATCACTTGTCGATGCAGCACTTTGCTGCAGTAGTGTTGTTTCGACTCCATGTTCACCACGCTCAATCTTGCGCGGAATATTTTGAGCATGTGAAAGAGGAGAACCGCATTCTGGACAACACTTAAACTTAGGAAGCAAGTCTGTGTTTCCACAGCTAGGGCACTTCATCCTCTCTGCAATTCATCAGCGCATCCTTGATAGCGCTTAAGTAGACTGCCTGATAGACGTTATTTCGCGAACACTGTCAAAGCGAAACACTCAACTCGTCACTGCTTCTCAGAAAGTGCGGACAAACACAATGTTGTCACTTTTCTCCGAAATGCACCGGATGTGGCAGATGATGTTATGTAAGCTGGCGGGAAAATTCCCGCGCCAAAAATAGATCTTTTACTGGCGTCACGATAATAAATGTGAATTGGTCTTACAAGGGTTAATTTACCGGTTGCTGTTCATGCTTTTGAGGGCAAATTTTCAAATATGAACATTGACTTCGGTCGTCACATATAAATAAGATATTGTCCCCGCTTTATACACGTATCCAATCAAACCGGGAAAGTCAACCAAGTTTCCATTTGTCTTCCAATTTCAATGACAACAAGACCGAAATATGCAGAGTTTTCCTACAGGGTTTTATATGAAATTGACTTCCTGTAAAAAGTCCCGAGGACAGATCCCCTGTCTGAAAAAAATGTTATCGAAAATGAAAACAACAAGTAATAAACATCGGGCAT